GTTGTAATTTATTTACTGGTTATACTATTTTTACAAAGAAAATTATAGGGATTGGGGTTAGGAGAGGATGGAAAGGGACCACCCCAAAGACCACAAAAGCTTTGTTTAAAAATAAAAATTTTCATTAGGAAAGTAGGATGAGAGAGATAAAAGAGAATATCCTTAATAATGAGGACAGAAAAGTTTCAAAACACAAAGTACACAAATGGCTTATGAACTCTAAAACCAGTTTAAAAGGTATTGAAAAACCAGAATACAATTTTTAACACAAGTTGTTCAGGACAAAGATAGTAGCTTTCAAACTAATTTTGAGAGTCCAAATTTTATCATCTTCCTTTGGGAACTTTAAATTCACAATGTATTTAACACCTTTAAAACTTGGAGAAGACACAGAAGCAGCTACCCATTAGTTACCTAATTAATCAAACTTGTACAAATATTTTAGCGGAATTTCAGTCAGCATATCTAACTCAGAGTTAATTTGGTCAGTGCATATTATTTTAAAAAATGATCAACAGCTAAAATTAAAGAAGAAAAAAATAGGAGTTATTTTTACAGTATTCCTGAAAAAGTCTAGGCCTATATACATGTCACACAGAGAAAGCACTGTATTATTTGGTATATTACTGAAGTTTCCTTGAATAAGGATAAAATATATGGGAGGTTTTGTTCACATTCTAAGTATTCTAAGTATGGAAAAATCATAAGCACTGGTTGCAAAGCATACCATTCAAATATATTTTTACAACTCTCTAATTTACTTATAGGAAGAAACAAATACGTTAAATAAAGTTAGACATATTAATTTAACAGGGTTTATCTGAACAAAGAACAATTTATGGATCAGACAGTCCTCATGACCAGAAGAGGTTAAGAAAGCTCCAATTTAGCAGCATAAGCAGTGACGTTTTATAGGCTGAATGTAGACACGAAGTAAAGAAATTACTTGATTGGTTATAGCCAGGCATTTGTTTATTTTAGGTATAATCCTGTGGAATGTCCTTAGAGGATAACTGGCAGTTTTGACAGGTTTAGCTTGCGTTTCATTTGAATCTTCACATTGGGCTTCAGCTTGCTTATGTAGGCATTCAAGGCATGGGAACTGTCTCAGACTAATGGCCTCTCAATTGAAATCATTTTTAATGCGAAGAAAACTAAAATATCTGAAATTTCTTATAAGGCAATTAAAACCAGATAACTAATTGATGGCAAAGAAAAGATTTTTGAGTATCATTTGACAACATTTTTTTAGGAGCAGAACATATCCAAGTCACATGGAATCAAAGTATGTTACTGGTGGCAAATCCAATGGGTCTGCAGCAACCTCAGCCCATTATTACTGAGGGCCTAAGGCAGAAGCAGAGACCGAGGCCAGTTTTAGAGCCAAAGTGAAAGTTTATTTAAAAGCTTTAGAGCAGGAACAAAAGGAAGCAAAGCACACTTGGAAGAGGGCCAAGCAGGTGAGTTAAAAGACAAGTGCACAACTTGCCCTTTGACTTGGGGTTTTCTATGTTGGCACTTCAGGGTCTTGCACCCCCTGTGCCCTGATTCTTCCCTTAGGATGGGATGCACCGATGCACAGTGGCCTATGGGCACTTGGGAAGGGAGCATGCGCAGTGTAATGTTTACTGGAATTGTAGGTATGCTTACTTGAGGCATTCTTCCCTCACCTATGAGATATCCCTAGGAGGTCATAGACAAGTTGAACTCCGTCATTTTGAATCTTAATGCACATGCTTGAGCCTGCTTACCCAAATTCTGAGATCTTATCAGGAAGCGCTAATCACAGTTTCAGGTGTTTTCCATCTATTGGGAGGCTGCCTTTCCCTAGTGCTTGCTGTGACAATTATTATTTTAGAGAGACAGTTTACTGCCTGATGGCCTGACGTGCCAGGTGCATGTGGAGATATCTCCTGCCCTGCTCATATTTCACCAGTTACCTACAATAACAATTTCATTTAGTGAAATAACAAAAATTAAAGCGATGCTCTTTATATAAATATTTTACTTTTTTAGATTAAGATTTGATAAAGTAAACTTTGTCAATTAAAATGTTATCTTAATACAATTAAGACTGACTATATTCTTATAAAACAAGCAATATCATCATACTATTTCTAATGAGAAAAACTGAAAAAAACATTGTTTTAGAATTTAATAATTCTGTAAATCAAAGCAAAGTACAGTACATACTAGCAACTAAATGATAGGTTGTATTATGGTACTTTAAAACATAAGATGTTGTGAACAAAAAATAGAATAAAAGTTAAATCTGAGGATCTATTTCTGCTTCTGGCATCAGTTAAACAAGTGGCATGGATATGCCATTTAGACAAATAGCCCAAATGTTATCATCACTAACAGTAGCAGATAGCTAAGGGCTATTGCAACTCATGTCTGTACATGGGAAAAAAAAAATTTCTTTATATTTCATAGTTTTACACTGGGCTTTCTGTAAAAATACACACACACAAATTAACATGCAAAAACAAACAGACATTTATTAACATTTATAGTTTTGTGTGTATATATATGTATACACACATATATATGAGATACCAGAACATAAGTAATTTTTCAAAGTATAACTCAAAAAATACTTTTAAACTTCAGACTTACATATCATCATTATCTCAAAGAAAAAAAAAGTGTGCAGGGAAAGGCCTGGTTAAGATGAAATGATGAGGAAAATCACCTTAAGGAAGGCATGGTTTGTTATGCAGATTTAAGTCCATGCCTTCTTCATTAAGTCCCCTCTCAATTCCTGGTGCAGAGAGGAAGACACACAAACAGAAATTTTCTTTATAGATGTAAATTTCTCTTACTGAAGGACAAATGTTCAGAGCTACTTCTGGGTCTGTTTTTCAGAGTAACCAGCTCAAAATAATCAATATGTCTGAGAAGCATTTTTTAGGGTGATATATTCTGGACACCAACAGTCATATTTTGAGTGATGTATTTGGAACCCTACTATATATATATAGTCCATTCTCACTTATAAATAATGGCATATATTATTTATAGAATTATCTCCACTTTTATTTTATTTTATTTTTATTTTATAATTTTTGAGATGGAGTTTCACTCTTGTTGCCCAGGCTGGAGTGTAATGGTGTGATTTCGGCTCACTGCAACCTTCACCTCCCAGCTTCAAACATTTCTCCTGCCTCAGCCTCCCAAGTAGCTGGGATTAGAGGCATGGACCACCTCACCTGGCTAATTTTGCATTTTTTAGTAGAGACGGGGTTTCTCTATGTGGGTCAGGTTGGTCTTGAACTCCTGACCTCAGGTGATCTGCCCACCTCGGCCTAGCCCATGTGCTGGGATTACAGGCGTGAGCCACTGTACCCAGGTATCTCCACTTTTAATGTACAGAGTTCCAATTTAATTCTTTTAATATTTGAATATACTCAAAATGTAAAATTATTGAAATTTCTATGATAGAATATACAATTTTCATATTTTCGAGTTAAAGTATAAATATTACCAACTCGAGTCATAGTTACACTGGAAGAACATATCCTTACTAGAAATACTAAAACTTTATATGTGTTTGAACTACAGTGATACTTCATTTTCTAAGAGCTTTAAAATATTTGATCATTGGACAATTTTCCCTCAGATATATTCAACTGAGAATTTGTTCCTGGATATTTGTACTAAAATATACTACAATCAAAAGTTGAAACTTCATGAATAGGAATTGTTCTGATACATGTATTACAGGAAAGGGGTCCCGCTCCAGACCCCAAGAGAGGGCTCTTGAATCTCACGTAAGAAAGAATCCAGGGTGAGTCCAAATAAAGTGAAAGCAAGTTTATTAGGAAAGTAAAAACCAAAGAATGTCGGCTCCATAGGCAAAGAAGTCCCAAGGGCTGCTGGTTGCTTATTGTTATGGTTATTTCTTGATTACATACTAGACAATGTATGCATATTCATGTCTCTCCTTTTTAGACCATATAGGGTATCTGCTTGATGCTACCATGACATTTATAAACTATCATGGTGATGGTGGGAGTGTAGCAGTGAGGATGACCAGAGGTCACTCTTGTGGCCATCTTGGTTTTGATGGGTTTTACCTGGCTTCTTTAGTGCAGCCTGTTTTATCAGCAAGGTCTTTATGACCTGTATCTTGTGCCAACCTCCTGTCTCATCCTATGACTTAGAATGTCTAACTCTCTGGGAATGCAGCCCTTAGGTTCAGCCATATTTTACACCGCTCCTATTCAAGATGGAGTTGCTCTGGTTCAAATGCCTCTGACATGCAGTGAAAGGGAGTCAAAAGTATTATTTTTAGATTGATCATGCCATATACATTCAGCAAAATGTGAGTCCAACATACCATAAATGATAATAGAAACAAAAATAAATTTCAGTGGGATAATGGGTAAAATTATTTTTGTAAATTCAAAATATAAATCTAGACATAGAAGTTTTCCATTTAGGGAATGTGTTATATGAAAGAGAATTTTTGGACAGATTAAACTTAACAGAGTTTAACTGAGCAAAGAACAATTCATGAATTGTGCACAAAGACCACACCACTCTTACAGATGATGGAAGTGAGGAGAGAAACAGTTGGATTGGTTATAGCCTGGCACTTGTCTCATGCTAACCCTGAACAATTCATCACCTTTGGCTGAAACTTGGTGATTTGTACAAGAATAGGTTACAGTCTATTTAAACATTCACTTAAGGTCACAGTTCACTATGCTTGAAGGAACTTTTAAGCTGAACTTACAAGGAGGTAGCTTTAGGTTAAACTTAATTTAACAATCATATGAATCTATATATGGAAACATATATACAACTGGCTGAACATAAGTGACCTTGCACTTATAGGGTAACAAATTATGCCATTTGAAGAAGGTAATGGCTGGTAAGGTTGAAGTATTGACAATAATGGACTGCAGTGTATCTTGAAATAAACATCTATTCACTGGGAGAAGTGAAATAAATTTTTTTCTCAAAGATAAAACAACTAAAAAAACAAAATTTGAGTGCTCGCTTCAGCAGTACATACACTAAAATTGATGATACAGAGAAGATTAGTATGACCCCTGTGAAGAATAACATTCAAATTCATGAAGCGTTACATATTTTTGGCCAGTATCATCCTGATACCAAAACCTGGCAGAGACACAACAAAAAAAGGAAACTTCAAGCCAATCCGCCTGATGAACATAGATGTGAAATCTTCAATAAAATACTGACAAACCAAATCCAGCACTACATCAAAAAGCTTATTCACCATGATCAAGTTGGCTCCATTCCCAAGATGCAAGACTGGTTCAACATACACAAATCAATAAGCGTAATCCATCACATAAACAGAACCAATGACAAAAACCACATTATATTCTGAACAGATGCTGAAAAGGCCTCTGATAAAATTCAACATCCCTTCATAATAAAAACTCACAATAAACTAGGTATTGATGGAAGGTATCTCAAAATAATAAGAGCTATTTATGACAAACCCACAGCCAATATCATACTGAAGGGGCAAAAGCTGGAGAATTCCTTTTGAAAACTGGCACAAAACAAGGATGTTCCCTCTCACCACTCCTATTCAACATATTATTGGAAGTTCTGGCCAGTGCAATCAGTCAAGTGAAAGAAAGAAAGATATTTAAATAGGAAGAGAGAAAATCAGATTATCTTTGTTTGCAAAAGACATGATTCTATATTTGTAAAACCCAGTAGTCTCAGCCCAAATATTTTTTAAGCTGATAAGCAACTTCAACAAAGTCTCAAATACAAAATTAATGTAAAAAAATCACAAACATTCCTATACACCAATAATAGACAAGCAGAGAGCCATATAATGAATGAGCTCCCATTCACAATTGCTACGAAGAGAATCAGATTACTAGGATTACCGCTGATAAGGGATATGTAGAATCTTTCAAGGAGAACTACAAACCATTTCTTAAGGGAATAAGAGAGGACACACACACATGAAAAAGAATTCCATCCTCATGGATAGGAGGAATCAGTATCATAAAAATGGCCATACTGCCCAAAGTAATTTATAGATTCAATGCTATTCCCATCAAACTACCATTGATATTCTTCATGAAATTAGTAAAAAAACTAATTTAAAATTCATATGGAACCAAGAAAGGCCTTGTATAAACAAACGATGTTTAGCAAAAAGAACAAAGATGGGTGCATCATGCTACCAGATGTAGTATAGACTTCAAACTATACCACAAGGCTACAGTAACCAAAACAACATGGCACTGGTACAAAAACAGACACATATACTAATGGAACAAAACAGAGAACTCAGAAATAAGACCATAAATCTACAACTACAACCATCTGATCTTCAACAAACATGACAAAAACAAGCAACGAGGAAAGGATTCCCTATTTAATAAACGGTGCTAAGAAAATTGGCTAGCCATATGGAAAAAAGTGAAACTACATTCCTTTCTTACTCCTTCTAAAAACATTAACTCAAGATGAATGATAGGCTTAAATGTAAGACCCCAAACCATAAAAGAAACCCTAGAAGAACTGAGGCGATGCCATGCAGGACATAGCATGGGCACGGACTTCATGACTAAAACATCAAAAGCAATTACGATAAAAGCTAAAATTAACAAATAGGATTTCATTAAATGGAAGAGCTTCTGAACAGCAAAAGAAACTATCATCAAAGTGAACACATAATCTACAGAATGAGAGAAAATTTTTGTGATCTAACCATCTGACAAAGGCCTAATATCCAGAATTTACAAGGAACTTAAACAAATTTACAAGAAAAAAATAAGCAACCCTATCAAAAAGTGGGCAATGGATATTATGAACAGACCCCTCTCAAAAGAAGACATATATGTAGCCAACAAACATAAAAAGAAAGCTCAACAGCACTGGTAATTAGAGAAATGCAAATAAAAACCACAATTAGATACCAACTTATACCACTCAGAATGGCGATTATTAAAAAGTCAAAAAACAAGGGATGCTGGCGAGGCTATGGAGAAATAGGAATGCTTTTTACACCGTTGGTTGCAATGTAAATTAGTTCAACCATTGTGGAAGACAGTGTGGCCATTCTTCAAGGATCTAGAACAAGAAATACCATTTGGTCCAGCAATCCCATTACTGGGTATATACTCAATGGAATATACATCATTCAGTTATAAAGATATGTGCATATGTATGTTTATTAAAGCACTATTCACAATAGCAAAGACATGGAACCAACCCAAATGTGAATCAATGATGGACTGCATAAAGAAAATGTAATACATATATACCATGGAGTACTATGCAGCCATAAAAAGGAATGAGTTCATATCCTTTGCAGGGACATGGATAAAGCCGGAAGCCATCATCCTTAGCAAACTAACACAGGAACAAAAAAACCAAACACTGCATTTTCTCACTCATAAGTGGAAGCTGAACAATGAGAAACAACACGCACTGCAGCCTGCCACGGGTGAAGCGAGGGGGTGGGTAATAATAAAATCATTAAATGTCTTGACAATTACTATTAATAAATATACAATTTGAATTTGGCCTGCAGGACTTGATCTCAGTTAAGGAATTTGATCTGCAAGGACATATTGTTTACTGGAAGAATCAATGAAAGAATTTGACCGATAGGGACAAATTTTTCAATTGTTATAAAATTTTCAGTATTTCTAAGGTTATGATTTATAGACATTAGAAATTCAAATTTTTACTTTATTTGTAAGTAAATGTATTTGTAGACAGACATATTTTACAAGAATTGTTTCTAAAGCTTTTCTCTTTGACAAAATAAAGAATACCTAATCTTTTTTTAGTGGTTGAATGTATAATATTAAATTTCTGTCCAGTACCTGAAAAAATATTGTACTGCTATATTGATTTACTAAATCAATATTACTGTATTTGATTTTGAGTTGTATGACCAGAATTTACTCATTAGAATCCAGCTCATGTTCTTGAATGCATCCTTAATTTGTGTTTGATGGGAGGCAGAGATTTACACCTCTTTTTGTCTCATTCAAATTATTACAGAAATGTAACTGGTCACCTCGTCTTTTCTCTCAACTTAACATTTATAAACTTAACATTTATAAATTATCTTACATTTTCCTGTCTTAGCTATTTCCCTAAAATAAATATTCAATACACTGTGTCATCCTTCTGCCCAAAAATCTCCAGAGACTTCTTGATGCTTACATTGTTAAAAAAAAAAAAAAAAAAAAAAAAAAAAAAAGGCCGGGTTTGGTGTCTCATGCCTGTAATCCCAGCACTTTGAGAGGGTGAAGCAGAAGGACCACTTGAGCCCAGGAGTTCAAGTCCAGCCTGTGCAACACAGTGAGACCCCATTTCTAAAAAAATTAAAACAGCTGTATGAGCATAGTGTGTGCACCTGTGATCCCAGCTGTCCCAGTTGAGGTAGGAGGATTACTTGAGCCCAGGCAGTTGAGGCTGCTGTGAACTGTGTTTATGCCACTGGGTGACAGAGTGATACCCCATGTCAAAACAAAAAAAAGGGGGGGGGAAATATTCACTGTGATAACAATGATTCTTGTGAAAGTCCAGTAAAAAAGACTATTCAGTTCAGAGTGATAGGTGTAGAGACCACTGCAATGGGATTTTGCAGTGGGGAAGAGAGATTGGGTTTAACTAAGTATGGGCAAAGAGGATACAACATGGGTAAGTGATCATTTATAGCCAAGAAACAGGGTGAAGATCAGTGGAGGGAAAATTACTAAGAGGAAATATCAGAGGTAAGGGGAATTCTGGCTAAACTGACCTAGCAGGATTCTAGCTGAAGAGAGGATAGAGTGTTCAGCCCTTACCTGGGGGAAGGTGGAGAATGAGAAACCTCATCTAATACCAAGAATGATTAGATATCAGAAGAAGAAATTCTTGCTCAACTGATCTATCAAGGGTCTCTATAAAACTTAATTTTACAAGGAAATGCACAGATGAGCATAAAAGGACTTTCAAAGGCCTGATTAAAGTTTGCTCAAGCAAAAAGCATCTTGATAAACATCAGAGTCCAAACTCCTTGTTTGCTTGTGCTCTGGCCCTGGCACGTCACTAGTAGTCTCCAGTTTTGTTCTTCTTCTACCTTCGTGAATCCCTGTTCCCTCCAAAATAACATTGAATTGCAGTAGAAAGATACTTATATTCTGGCTCCTCAAGCACACATTCAAATTCTTGTACACACACAGGCACACACCCCACTGATATGACCGTAGTCAACTATACCTTCTTTGCTCATCAGGACACTTCTCCTTTCATCCTTTATTTGGACCAGAGTGGACTCCCTGCCAATTTCCAAAAATGCATGTGTTTCCTCTGTCTCTATTTATTTGAGACTCATCCTCAGTGACATCTCTATGACTCAAATCCTATACATACTTCAGAGCAAAGCCTACATGAAACCCTTCCAGCAACACTTACCTCAATTATTTCTTCCAAAATTATACTCTCATAAGACTTGTTTTTAATAAACCCTTATAATATTCTCCATTTATTACTTTTGATATTAGACTGACAAATTTGTCTTGCTGATAGATTGTAAACATTGCAAAAGCAGAAATTATTCCATTCATTTTCTGTCTTCCACAGTATAATAATAATTTAAATATTTAATGAATGCTAACCACTTATTTATATCAAACAATTATGTCAATTCTCTAGAACTCACATGATTTCAATTCAGTACATTTCAGGTATCTTTACAAAATAAATCAATTAGAATATAATTATGGAAGCTATATGGCATTTCATAGAAACTTCTTATATTTTGAAGATACCTCAATCACTTTGGCATGAACAGAAATTAGATTCACCAAAAAGACTAAAGAATATACCAAAAATCTACATTGGGTTCTCAATATTTTATAGTAAGATGATCACAATAGGCTTTTGACTGATCTCTCCAGATATGTAGATACCTATAAGGTAAATCCTTAAGTAACTCAGAGCCCAACTAACTTTTCTAAAACAATGCTGTGTACCTCCTTCCACCTCCTGAATCAAGTGTCATGACTCTGCTACCTAAATCATACAGCCCCACTGAAACACTGGCCTTCAAACCCCTCATAAGCCAGTCTGTATGTTTCCAAATTTATCACCACTCAC